AGCAGGAATTCTTCCCCAGTTGAAGCTAATTCCTTCTCAGAAGCCCTGTTCAGCTGATAGCTCTGTCTTGCTTAAGCTGTGAATACAATGTGAGTCATTACACACCCCTGAAATTAGGGCTTTGACCTCTTCGTGTGATAAAATTTTCCAATTAATTTTAAAATATATTCTCTCGCAGCAGTAAGCCAACCTCTGGGCTGAGGTCCTAAGCAAGCACTTTGTGTTGTTTTCAAAGTAATTTTCCACCTTCAGTGTGTTTGTGTAAAAGCAATCTCTGCATCTGAAATCTGAATTCAATTGCTCTTCTTGGTGAGAGAACACCCCTGAGAGCTGTTAATACTAATGAAGGCACAAACCTTTCATGAATCATTGCGGGAGCTCTCTCTTCCCATGAGGTGGAGCGCATTGTCTCAAAGCAGCTTTCTCTGTGACTTTTACTGAGCTTTTCCAGCTCACTTCATAAGCCTCCAGCTCACAGGGCAAGTGAGCAAAGGGCAGAAAGTTGATTTTGCATGAGGCATTTGCATAAGACTGGGTTATATATGCCAGTTGCCATGCCTGCATCTGGGTGGAAAGCCCCTGTGTGAATACCCCACAGAGCTACATGCGTCTTCCCAAAGCTGCGGGCGCTGCTCAGTTCAGATACCTGAATTAGGTGTGATTCAAAAGAGTAACGCTGGCAGCCTGGAGGGGGAACAGCTTTCCTTGGAATGACTGTAATGCCTCCTGCCTCCACATCTGCGACGGCTCAGCTGGGTCTGCAAGGGTCTGCGGGGGAGAACTAGAATGGGTGGTGGTTCCTTAGTGTGCTGGCAGAGTGCTGCAGCACTCCAGCATTGCCTCATGGGGAGCTCAGCTGTCATGGCAGCAGAACAGACCTGCTCCGCTGTCCCCTCAACCCAGTTAGAGGCATTAGGAGAGGAAGATCAATAAGCATATCCAGAAGGAGATTTGGAACCCCTAAAGGGATGCCCAGGTAAACTGTGGGAAAACCCCATAGTGATTTTTCTAAGCATAACTATCAGACAAAGGCAGAACTAGGAATAAAAGAAAGGTCCAAAATCTATTTTTAGTTGAGGCTGGGTCTTTGTAAGAAAAATGCTTAGCTAGAAATTTGTGGTTACTTAACCATTGCTCTAGCAGGGTAAAGAGACCTTAAAAGAGCCCTAATAATTCTTATTACTACAAAGCATTGGTTGCCAGCCGTTCTCAAACTGCCTTACAAGCTGACAGAAGAGAAACAGTTTGGGTTTCTAGACCCTTCAGTGACAGAAGCAACTTGTTCCACCAGCATAATGGGCCACAGCTCTTCAAACACACCTTAAAGTGCTTTTTTAGGATCAGGAATGATTTTCCCAAGAAAAAGGACATGGCCTTTTTGGTCATCTGGCAGGTCACTGGCAAGCTTAAGAAGAAAGGCAGGTCTTGGTTCCCAAACCAGTGCTGTGCACCCCATGCATAACTGACTTCTCCATGGCTTCTTCTCATAGAAAAAGTGCAGCTGGAAGAGCTCTATTGTGTGTTTTAAAAACAACAACAAAAAACTTTGAGGCCTAGTAGCCTGGCACTGTCTTCCTGCGTCGTGGCCAAGGCATGTATCGCCTCTTGCTGCTTCGCGTTCAGTCTGTTGGGTTCACTAAGTGCAAAGTGTTTTGTCTAACAGCTCATCCCAGCAAGACCTGGTCAAACAGTTGTTGCTTGGTCTGAGCTGTGTGGACTGTTGGCTTCTGCTGGGATGTGCCAATTGTCTGGAGGACAAGGCGGAAGCACTGGTGTCACTGCTTCTGGAGACACAGATGAGGTTCTGACCAGTGGGCCAGTAACCCCTGTCATCTCCTGGGACTTCTGGCAGTTCTTCCCAGTGCAGCCTCCACACGTATCTCCTCCGTGCAACCGTGTCTTTTCTGTGTCTTTTCTGCCCCTTCAGGATTTTCAGAAGTCTAGCCCAGGCTGCGTCACAGCTGTCCGCAAAGCCTTCCAGCAGATTAAGGATCTGTGTCTGAGTGGAGGTAAGGAGACATGCCCTTCCCAAGGACAGCCAGCAGGCAGTCCCAGCCATGTGGAAAAAAGTTGATTCAGTTTTATTTCAGCTAGGTCTTCAATCGGTTCAGCTAAATCAATGCAAATGCCCACCTGGCCACCTCTTTCTGCTTACACAGTTGATTTTTGATTTAATGAACAGTTTCAGTTAGCATTAAAATCGGTAACCAACACCAAAATGAAAGCATCTATGTGGGAGCTTGCACAGTGTTAATGAAACATCTTTTCTGCACCAAAGTGCAAAAACACCTGCAACTGCAAAATACTGCATTTTATGCTGGTAAAGCATCATGTTTCACCACATGCTTGTCGTCAACACGCACAATGTTAAGAACTGTTCAGGCAGGTATGACAACTGCATGGCTCAGCTCACTGGACATATCTGAGAAATATTTGGAAGGCAGCCATCACAGTCTCTTTCATTTCCAACCTTGGACAGTTAGGTGAAGCCAAGGAGAGAGACTGGTGAAGATCCCTCCTAAGTAAGCCAGAGCAGATATCGTGGGCATCTCCTGGGAGTCCTCCATGGTGTTAGAACAGCTGTGGTGGGTTCTTGGTCTATCTCAAGTCTTGGCTTGGTCTGTGGTGCTGCACGTCAGGGGCTGTGTGCCTTCGACGGCTGCTGTTGCTGCCTCGCTGCAGGGGCTGGTCCTGGAATTGTCCAGAGGAGCTGGGGGTCCAAAACCCCATTTAGCTTTGGGTCACATCAGGGAAAAACATTATTGTTAAATAGCCAATGTCCTCGAGGTCTGCCTGAGGCCACACTTTCTGCAGCAGGGTGGATAAGTGGTCATATTTAAGGCTTAGGCTCTCAAGTGAGCATCCAGAGGCAGGTCCCAGGCCTGGGTTTCCAAGTAAAGACAGCTGGGCTCTGGTGGGCAGCTTGTAGGGTACAATGGGGACAGACAGGAGCTGTGACTCCAGAACATGGGGGGTGAAAATGAAGGGAGCAGCTCTCCCCGGCAGAAATTGAAAGGTATATGAGTGCATCTTGAAGGAATCCCTTCAAAGACCGATTTCCTGACTCCAGCTGGCCTCTCTGCATCACACTGAGGTTTGAAGGCACGTCTATTCTTACACGGCAATTCTTACTGTAAATGCACCCAGCTCACAAGGATGTTTTGTTTTTCTTTTTTTTCATTCCCCTACCAGTTATTCCAGCTGTTGAATCCCACTGGGACCCGTACGCTGTACCTTGCTCTCCTGCACGAGAGCTTGCCTGGGGAGACCACCCTCCAGGGCACAGCAGACCCTGGGGAGGGAGCCTGTGGGGCGAGGAGGAGGCAGCCAGGTAGGGCACCAGCGAGGATGGGCTCATACCAAGCTGCTCTTCTCACTGTGCCAGCCGGGACTGCTTCTTTCTCAGTGGGTGCTGATTCCTCTGGGCTCCCCAGGCAGGTGTCAGTGGTTCCATGAGGGGCAGAGTGTGGGCCGTGGGCCGTGGCAGGGTCGTGAAGCTGCAGAGGAAGGCTGTGCCTGAACATCCACGTGTGTGTACATTTAGATATAATGTGTCCTTCCCACTAGAAACCTCATCTGTGTGTTATGGCATCTCCTTACTCCTGAGTGAAACAAGATGCTGAAGCCTGGTATTATTTTCCTCTGTTGAGGCTTGTGTCTTTCATTTTCCTTCTTTCTGCAGCCTATGATGAAATCAGCAGCAAAATGGCCACATGCAATAAGATCTCTAACAAGGAGGATGTTTACCAGCTCTTTGGGTTTGCTAGAAATGCCTTCACCATGATGGCCATGATGGACTACCCTTACAAAACTGATTTCATGGGTCACCTCCCTGCCAATCCAGTGAAGGTGAATACCAGGACACAGGTGGGAGTCACTCTTTCTGGTGTGCACCTTGGTGACTGGAGCGCAGGGTGCTGCACAGCCTGGGACGCTGTCAGGCACGCACCATCGGTGATGGTGACAGCGGGAGGTAGAGGTGGATGTTGCAACCCTTCCACTCTGACAGTAAATCAACATATTTTAAACTTCTCTGTGATGGTGACTGCTGTGTTTGAAATGCACTGCCGTAAGGCTCCCTGGGGAAGGTTTGCTGGAGCCACTACTCTGCCTTTACCTTAGACACAAAGGCCTGTGCAGCCTTGTTGACTTCAGCTTTTAAACACTAAAAACCTGCAGCTTTTTTTAAAAATGTAGTTTTGTTGTAGCCCACCTCAACATGCTTTCATAGATGTATTTTTCTTGGTGGTAGGAATGGGGATCTAAAATTCAGGCTCCTTTCTAAGTATCGCCCAGAAAGATGACATACCTCAGAGTATAATGCAGAGGAATGTCTGCTGCTGTGGGGACTGGAAAACCTGCAGACTTTCAAGAGAGTTGGAAATAGCAAAGCGTGGGAAAGAGGCCTGGTCCTCAGGGGGTTACAGAGACTTCTCAGATACCAGCTGCTTCTGAAAGGTCCCAGGCTTGATCCCAGATCACCACTGCCTGTTGCAATTCTTTGTGTCTTCTGGTGTGCTGTCAGCCTCGTGCTACTGTCCTCTGCTGCACTCCAGTACGCCATGCTGATGGGACTTCCTTTGCCTCTGGCCTTGTGGCATTTATGGTTCGAGTCCTACCTGGAGCAAAATGCATACTGTGCAAGAGGTCATACAGGCTACACTGTCCTGGGGCTCGGGAGATGCTGTCTCTGGCTCCACTGGGCAGCCAGTTCCCTTCTAGGGTCTATTTAACAACCTGTAAAATGGAAATAATTATCCTACCTCCCCTTGAGAAGGACATTAAAATATCCTGATTGTAGGAGGAACTGTTGTGTATCACTGTGGCCTCTGCACAGCTGCTTAGCTTGGTAGAGGAATTGTTTGTCTTAGCCCTGTCTCCCTGTTTCTATCTATTTTGCTGCTAGAAGGGAGGAAAAAAAAACAAAAAAACTGTTGCATTAGGCCCTTGGAAACCGGCTGAACCATAAAATGTGTAAGTGGTAATTTTAATGAATCTTCCAGCTTAGCCATTCTGTGGAGCAGAGGCTGTTAAATTTCCTGTCTGTAATTTGCCTGTAATGTGTCTCATCCAGGTTGGCTGTGAACAAATCCTTGCCCACACAGACCCAATTCAAGGCCTGGCTGCTCTTGTTGGTGAGTTAGTATTATCCGTTTGGTCTTTTATTTAACATCCTGTTTTATAGAAGCACCTGTAAGTAGAGCTGTTGCGCTGTTGCACAGGTTGTGTATTGTGGGAGCTGGTATGACTCCAATCTCTCACTGGAACATTTTGCCTTATACTGGCTTTGTCCATCAGGATGTCTCATGGTGGCCCATGGGTTCATTCTCTCACCTTTCCGAACTTACCATCATCAGGTTTTTCAGTCATTGCAGCCCCTTAGCCTGTTGAATGTCTGTGAGATGTGGACTTCTAAGGTACTTGGTTCTTTTCTAAAAGTTTACCCATACTCTGGCTCAAGCAGTCACAGGTTCAATGCACATTCACTGAAGGAAGTTTTCTGGTCTGCTTGTTGAGGACAAGGTTGTCATCACAGTGCGCTACAGTCTTAATCCAGTTGCAGATTAAGACAGTCTTAAATACATAGTGTATATTTATCTCTGTGAGTACTTAATTTGTCAGCCAGTAGTGTTTGTAAGGAAACTCTTTTGAAGACTCATAAAATATGTCATGTTGCTCATTAAAAATAAGTTCTACATAGATCATTATTCAGAAACACAGGTTCTGAATGACAAAAAATTGATTTAAGGAATTTTTATGGGTTTTAATGCAGCTTAGTAGGATTGGGAACTAATTCTTTTCTTTGCAAATTATGCATGTCAGCACCAAGTCAGAAACATACCAATTCCAAATGACTGCTAAAGGTGTTTGGCTTGGCAACTGGAAGAGTTGTTGAAATTACTAATGTCTTGGCAAACACTGTCAGATCTGCTTGATGTATTCACATCCTACTTCTTTTCTGAGGCAGAGTGGGACTCTTGTTTGTTTGTGATGAACAAGCTGGGGGTAGATTTCTTCCTCCTGCCCACGGGGGAGCACTTTGTGCCTCCCCCCATCTCACCAGCTGCATTCACTTGGGACAGTTTAATCATGCAAGAGGCATGATCCACCAGAGCATTAGGCAGGGGATTGGCTTTCTTCCATACCTGCCCCTCTGTGTCATACAGGAAAACACTGTCTCCTTTCTGCATGTGCTGCAGTGACCCACCTCCTGCAAGGTAGAGCGTAGACTCGTGGGCTGTGATGCTGAACTGGCAACAGTTGAACTGGGATAGTGTTAGCGTTGTCCACTGATTGCTTACAGGACAATAATACTCTGTCTCGTTGACATGAATCCATTCCTCTGCCTGCAAAGAACCAGACCAGCTCTCACCCATCGTGTCACGCCTCGAGTGGGCATCACTGTCACGTCAGGCTTGCTTGGTTCATGATAAAGAAAACCAGTGTCTCAGCATCTCTTTGGGGTTCAAGGTGCTAGAGTTTTGATCCACATTTAGCAATGAGAGCTTCAGAAGAAACTGAATAAAATACCAGAATGGCATGGCTTTAAAGGATCTTTGTTCTTCTTGGAAAATAAGAGGAGTGAGCTGAGCAAGGTGCCACAGGGACCAGGCATAGCCTGAACTGGCATAGCCCAAGTCCTGTCCGCTCTCTGGACATTTAACACATTACCAATGAAATCATCTAAAGAGGGCTATATTGCATTGAATTGTGGACAATAATTTGAGTTTGGGTCATCTGGAGGAATTTGATGTCAGCCTGGATGTGGAGTTTCTCTTTAAGGATTTCTATCCCTTCCACAGTGAGCAATTAAGTCCTCTAAGATGCCCTCCATTCCTTTAAAAGAAACTGTACCTGTCATGCTAAAATCAGGCCAGGCCCTAAGTCTTTATACTTTCAAATGGGAATTGCTGAATGACTCTTGAAAACTGAGTTCTCTTGGCTTCAGGGAATGGGATTCTCCTAAAGTGAGCCTTTCAGTCCCTGTCAGGTCTCTTCCCAGCTTGCCCTCCCGCGAATGCTGCACAGTGCTTTCCCTCCTCTTTCAGACATGGGAAAGCCAGGTTTGAAGACACTTCATTGGCATTGCAGGGCTTGAGCCCATCTTTCCTAAAATCTAGGCTGGTGTCCACACTGCAGTCCATTCCTCTCCCTGTCTGCCAGTGTTTCTCCCCCTCTCAGTTTGAACAAGGAAAATCAGGTGGTCAGTGTGTTTGGGGCAGGTATGTGATGAGATTTGCACTTAGATTTTCCTGTGTTAGCAGGCTGTATGTTTTCTCTATTTAAAAAAATGCTTTAAACAGCCTTTGTACTCTAGCAAGTCGAGCGTGACAACAGGGCAGCTTCTAATGCACACGATTGTAATAGCAGGCACATTTTCATAAGCTTATTGGCCTGATTTGCAGCTGTGCCAGTCCGCTAAGAGACCAAAAATAACGAAGTTACTGGTCAACCTGTTGGAATAAAACAGTCAGGGCATAGCCATATAGAGACCCCATTTTGAGTCAGATTTGGGATTATAAGAGCAGATGAACTTACTCCTTTTAGTGTCCTTCCTCCAACGCAAAAGATTCTGTCCCTGACTGTAGCCATCCCATGATCACAGCGGGTAAAAGCCATGGCACTGTTGCCAATCCAGCGTCGGAGACGAGGGAGGTAGCTGTAAGTGTCTCGTAAGGTTTTACCCCCCGAGAAGCCCCCTAGAAGGAAAGCAGAAGTCTTGAAAATCTATCCATCGTCTTCTCTGACATCCAGCAAACCTTCTGCAAACATCAGTAGAGCTGCTTCCCCCGCCACTAAAAATACCTAAGAAGCTCAGGTTTAAAATTTCACACCATTCTGCAGAGCTGATGCAGTATGAAATTTAACAAACAGTTCCAGCTCTTTCTGTAAATAGTTTTCCACAAAAGATGTTTGAATAAAGCTCTTGGGGTATTTCAGGTGCAACCAGGAACAGCTTTCATCAGGGAGTCTGCTTCCAGCACATGCGGTCACAAAATGGTGGTTGAAAAAAAAACGTTCAAAGCTCTTTGAACTGTGGATCTTTGACAGAATGTCAAAGCCAATGTGCCAGTGCTGTTGTTTTTATTAGGCACCCACTTGCATATTTCAGGGGAGCTTATAAAAAGCTCCTTGCAGAAGGAAGGTGCCGCTATGGGAAGGGTAAATGCGCCTGCCTGTTGAATTCCAGCCTGCAGAGAGTCTTTGCAAACAAGGAAGTTGATATTTCAGGATGCCCATAAGACCTGGCTCACCTGGGCTTCGATGCTTTCTGTGCGTGGACGCTTTGTCTGCATGGAGCTTGTTTTTAAATCTTGTACTGAAGTAATGCTTTAATTTTTCAGTTTGCTTGGGCAGAGCTGTAGGCTGGCCAAATCAAATGTGCAATTACCCCACTAGCTTAGAAGGAAATGAACACTATGGATAGGTAAGAACCAATACCCAAGGGGTGTGGTGTTAGCCAGCCCAGATCACTAGGTATGTTTGAAGCTCTGTGAGGCAATTTTGTCCTTGCTGTCTGGTAGGAATCGAGACCAACAGAGGTTAAATGAACTGCCTGTGGCACTGTGGGCCAGCTGAGTCAAAGCAGGGCCTTGCACCTGAGCCTCAGCCATTCCCCCAGCTGAACCATCATCCTTCCTTTCCAGACATCTGTGCTGCTAGTGCAGGAGCCCTGCTGCCAGTGGGGTACATGTCTGTGTAGGACAGCCCGTGTGCTGCCGTCCCTGCCCTTGGGGCCTCAGCTGTACTCAGCACAGAGAAGTAACCTTCATTGCAACTGTGCGATTGAAGTTAATCTGGACTAGATCAGTACAGTGAACCCAGCTGGCCATAACTGTTTTATGAAGTAGGGAGCCTACAGCAATGGCAGGCTGTCCCAGGACTTTTAACTGCAGAGGCAATAACACAAAACACAGTGCTTTTCCTCGGACAAACCAAAGATTATCTTTAAAGTCCAAATGCATAGCTGCAAAAGCTAAAGATCCTACAACAATTTCCATAAGTGTTTAAACCCATGCTGCTTTGTTGTTACCCATCCTGCACCATCTATCAACGATCCCTGTAAAGACTGAGGGTCCCTTGTAGGGCAAAAGCTGTACAGCCTCAGTGCGCAAGAGGATGAGAGCATGCATTACACTTCTTTTTGTACAGATCAATAAAGCAGCACAGTAGGGTTAGTCACACATCTTCCATTCAGATTAATACCAGGGTTTAATCCCATCCCCAACTCTATGGCAGCCTGCTCCTGGTTTACCTGTTCAGACAGCAAAGCTTTAGGATTTAGCAAGGATTGTGCAAGGTCAAAGGCAAGCAGGGGTGTGGATTGCAATCAGATGATATTACCTTAAAAGTCTTGGAAAGAAAATAGCTCCTGCCATTCAGGAGGGTAGTGAGGCTGTGCTAACACAGCAGAAAAGGGACACTGGAGCTGTGGGTGTTACTGGTGTGGGTGCAGGCTTAGACTGTGACACTAAGATGCCAGGAAAACTCAACAACCTATATGAAAATATGCTGCTTTCTACTAGCTCTATCACCTGAAATATAGAGAATTCCCTTGTGGGTTGTGCCTGCATGGTCAGCAATAGGCATGGGGAAAGGAGCTGCAAACTCCCACTTGTTGTCAGCAGGCTGGTACAATTCCACAGTGCAGGTGAGGGTCCCCAGCAGTGTCCCACCACCAACGGCAAAGATACGATCAGACAGCACATCCGCGTGGAAGCGTGTCCGCCTCTCCAGCATGCTGGCGACCTGGAGCCAGGAAGTGTTGCGGGGATCAAATCGGAAAACCTAGGATCACAGCAGATGGGTGATGGTTAGCAGAAGGCGAGTGGCTGGCTTACGTCTCCTCTGGCCTCAAGAACTAATAAACATTTTCCCTGGGCTGAGGAAGGTTTTATATTCAGACCTGGACAGGCTCAACTTCCAGTGCCAGCCAGCTGATAGAGCAGTACATCCCCAGTGGAGCAGGAGGTGAAACACATTGGCATAATGAAATATCTTTGTTTCAAACACCAGCTAGCATGTGTCAGCTGAAAACCGTTTCAGTGAGATTTAAACAAGCACATTTTGCATCTCTGCTACTGTTTGAATGTGTAGTAAAAAGAGCAGCTGAGCTTTGCCCCCTGCTTTTACCCAGGAGAAGGCAGGAGTAGCTTCCCCTCCCCTCATCCTTGGTGGCATCACCACAGGGGCACAGCACCTCTGCTAAGGCTGGGCTTCTAGTTACACCTTGTTCAGCAGTAAATACTTCCCCAAGCTTGTTTTGTCAGTCCTGGTTAGAAAGCCCAGGTCACTGAGCATTGAACCGCAGGCGATGAGTGCTGGGCTTGGGCTGTAGCCAGTGCCGCAGCCCTGCCGCTTCGGCATCCTCGACTCCACTGCTGCTGAACTGCCGCCTGCCTTCAAGGCAGTGGAAGAGAGTTGCTGTTTGCTGAACTGAGTACCATGCTGAAACAAGCCCCTCGGGAGCACGGGAAAGAAAAACATGCTGTTTTTTCTAGCAAGCTCACTGAAGCCATCTAGGAAAATGTAAAATTCTGTACAAGTCTCTTTACCCTCCAGGCAGAAAGAGAAGGTCCTGGGAGCTAAAGCAGATTTGCCTTTCAAGGGCAAAAGCAAGGAAGGAGCAGTTCTCAAGTGAAGTGGTAGGCTTTAACCATGCCTCCCAAGCATGAGTCCACTGGCAGCAACAGTGGGGACAAGGGGTAACATTCATGGGGTTGCTTGATTGACTGATGTGGACCTGGCTGAACCTGGACTGTGGAAGTTGTGCATAGACTAGGATGACAATTTACAGTAGGAGCAAGGTGACACCAGGGCAGGACCCGATTGCTTCCCAGAGAGTTTGGAAGCTGTATCCCCAAGGGCTTTCAGTACTGCATAGAGTGCTAAGAAATATGTAGAGGTGGGAAATTTTTTCTTTAGCCGTTTTTCCAAGGCTAAAGGTTTCTTGTGTCTTACCTCATTTGATGGCTGCTTTCCTGTGGGATCAAAGTTGCACTGTCCCCCGATGACAAAGAGGAAGTCGTTGATGATGGCGACACAGTGGTTGTACACTGGCACGCAGAGGTTCCCGACCTTGTGCCAGGTGGTGCAGCTTTGGTCTGCAGCCCACATCTCTCTGCACACGCAGTTGTCGGTGGTTCTGCCACCAGTGACAAGCAGCATGGTGGAATCAGAGCGGAGGCTCGTGCTCTGTGTCTGCAGGACTGGCTGAGCATACAACTGGGAGTGGTAATTGAGAGCCTCCTGCAGGTACCTGTGGCAGCCTGAATCCAGCCTCATAAGTGGCATTTCCTGGACATATCTCTGCAGATCCCGTAAAGGAATGAGAGGGAATCTTATGCGCCTTAAAATATCTGCCGCATCTTTCATCCGTGTGTGGTCATGCTGCAGCCAGCTCACAGTGGCTCTGAACAGCTCCAGCTCACTGCATCCCTCGGCGTCAGTCCTGTCTAAAATTTCACAAAGGGTTCCTCGGTCCAGGTCTTTCAAGCACTGAGGATCAGCCAGGATCTGTCTGTAATGCTGCCCTACGTAGCGCATGGCTTTCTGTCTCAACTCTGCTGGGCCGAGGTTTTTAGCAATGTTAAGAACATCCATGCAGTTCTCACTGTTCAAGCAACCCTCCAGAAAGCAAAAGCATAGCTTGATCACCTCCCGAACCAGGAGGGTTTCTGCAGCTTTGAAGGTCTCCTCGATGTTCTGTAATGAGAGGTCTAATTTGTTGGAGTAGATGAAGTTGAGAACATTCCTCAGCCCGGCAGCACTGATGGCTTTCAGCCGGACGTTACCGTCTGGGTTCCCCACTTTTGTCAAGTTTCCAACAAACAGGATCTTGCAGTAATTACTTGCTGACGCTAAAATGATCTTGTGGGCTGGGAAACAAACCCCTTCTGCTTCCAGCATCACGTCGCACAGTGCACTCTGTGAGCGAAGGCTGCTGAGCCCTTCCAGGAGTTTTGCCGGGTAGGTGTCTGACGTGAGCCTTGCCGTGCTGCCCTGCGAGCTGAGCAGCATTGTTGTGAACGGTGCGTAGCCCCAGAACAGCCCCAGGACTCTTTGCTGCCCACACTTAGTGCATTTCCTGGGCAGTCTGCTGCAGCTGAAACAGTGGTTTCATGCTTCGAGGGAGCTGCGGCTGTGCCGTCCACACCACAGAGCCATCCAAAAGGCAATAGCTGCAGCAGCCTTCCTCCTCAGGGGCCTCTGCCCGGCGCGTTGCAGGTGCAGAGCTGTGTGCCTCGCAGAGCCGCGTGGAGCCGTTTGCAAGTGGAGCTGTTGGTGCTGTTTATTGCACAAACCCCACAGTGTTTGTGGGTTTTGCCTGTGGGCTGTGGCACTGGCAGCAGCAAATGGCCACCGGTGTAGCCGCATTCCTCCTCCTTGCTATCTGGTAACTACCCATCCGCACAAAAAGCAGCTCATTCTTCAGCAGCTCCCCAGCTATGCTTCAGTGGGCTGCCTGGTCAGATGCTTTTTCATCTGGGCAAGCCTGCACACGCCGTCTTTCCCTTCTTGAACAACAGTCAAACAAAATCCTGTTTGTGACGTGCCACCCTTGGCCTTCTGACTAAATGTGATGCATTCAGAAGACAGCTACTTTTAGGGAGGGGGTGGGAAGGTCTCAGCAGCTGTGTCCCGTTCGTTTGAAGCGTTCAGCTCGTCCTGTGCAGAGCCTGCTCCTGGTGCGCTAGGGATTAGAGGCTAGGGCTCTCCCAAGGACTAGTGAGCCCGACACTTGGCTTTGGCATGACCAGAGATGACAGAGAGCACACAAGAGCCTCTTCCTCCCCATGGATACAGCAGACACAAAGGCTTCAAGACCATGTGAAAGCTTTGGCATAAAGTTGGGATTGTAACCTAATGCTGGTGCAGAGCCTGCTAGCTCTGTCCCAGCCTTACACACTTGCCCAGCTGGGATAAACACCCCTCTGCTTGGCCTGGGCTGTGAGACTTATGCAGGAGGCAGCGCGTGGGACAGCAGAGAGGTACTGACAGGATGGCTTTGTGCTGTGTTCCCACCTGGCAGGGGTGTTTTACAACTCCTCTGGCTCAGCACGGTGTTACGACATATACCAGCTGTACCGGTCCTGCGCTGACCCCACGGGCTGCGGCATTGGCTCAGACGCCGAGGCCTGGGACTACCAGGTAAGGTGCTGGAGACACTAACAGGTTTCAGCTGCTGCAGTGGTTATCCCCCCGCCCCATGACAGCTCTTGCACCTCTCTCAGGTTTGCACCGAGATCAACTTAACTTTCAACAGCAACAACGTGACCGACATGTTCCCTGAGATGCCCTTCACAGAGGCCATGCGAGAGCAGTACTGTTGGAGCAAATGGCATGTGAGGCCACGAGCACACTGGCTGCGGACAAATTTTTGGGGAGGAGGTGAGTTATGCTGGCTGCTCGTTCTTTTGTGTTACCCTGTAGTTGTCTGCCTGTCCCCTCTCTGCCCAGCCGAGCTCTGTGGGGGCAGGCACAGCGCACTAACAAGTCCTGGCAGAAAGTCACAGCCTTGTACTGATTCGAGCCAAACAGACCTTTCTGTACCTCCCTGAGACAGAAGTGGAAAACCTAAAAACTGCCAAGAATTTTATTCTCCTGTGTTTTCAGTTCTTGGCCATGTTTGCTGCAGTAGCCAAATATATTTGGGTAAATGAACAGGAAGGAGGCCTCTCAAATGTCATCTCTCTGAATTTCAGACCTGCAAAGTGCAAGCAATATCATTTTTTCAAATGGAGACTTGGACCCGTGGGCTGGAGGTGGGGTAAGCATGCACACTCCTGCACACCGAGCACAGAGAGCAGCCTTTCCAGGTGATAAACTGCCCCGCCTCCCTTTCACAGCAGCACTGGCAATTCATCTTTAGCCTATGTGAGTTTCTGCAAGTGGCTGGTTTATGCTGAACTATTCAGAAGCCTCAGGGCATTAATGATGGACACATTGAACAGAGTCCATCAGCCCAGAACACTGATGCAGCAAAGGTGGCTTCACTAGTGCAGACATGGCAGGAGCTTCCTTACCCAGCACCTGGGGTCTGAACCACAACCCACTGTGTTTCTGTGTCAAGACTTGGTCTCAGTGCTGACAGCCAAATGCTCCTTGCTCTCTCCAGTCTTGGCACACTTTGTGAGACTAAGCAGTTGCTGTAAGCAGCAACTTGAATGAGGGCATGTTTTGGCTTAGGTTCAACAAAGCTTCAGAGTGGTGGCAGAGCTCTAGTTTAAAAATTAAAAACAAAAGTGACCCAGAACTGGATTTTGAGTTAGTCGAGCTCCTGACTATAATGCAGGAGTTCCTTGGTTTAATCTGGTTTGGCAATCCCAGCTGCAACAGGAACAGGCTGCTTAGGGTGCACAGGTCCCAAAGGAGCCTGCTACTGCAAACTGCCTGTACTGGAGTAGGCTGACGGTTTTCATCTTGGGGAAAGCCTTCACTTCGAGACAGATGATTTGGCTCATGAGGACTGTCAGCCATGCACACAGTATCAGCCGTACCAAGGATCTCTTCCTGTGCTTTTCCTCAGTCCTGCTCAGCTTGTCTGAGAGTTTGTCTCTGCTCCTTCTCCTTCCAGATAAATAGCAGCCTCAGTCCCTCACTAATTGCAATGACCATTAAAGGAGGCGCTCATCACCTGGATCTCCGGTAAGTACGGAACTCTCCTTTGGCTGACAAAATCCTACTGCCTGGATAGCCACAGTCCAAAGCTAGCTAGCCAAAGAACCAGGAAATACTTTACTTAAAGGGGACTGGATACCAGACTGTTGCAGCATAACTTTGGAAAAGCAATGCTGTTTTCCAGGGCATAAATATGAAGTACAAACCAGATGATCTCTGTCCTTCAGTTCCCTGGCTTGGCTTTCCCCATGCAAGAGGCAAAGAGCTGCTGCCCACTGACTAGCTCACACTGCTCTGCTTTCTCTAGAGGACACAATCCAGCTGACCCCCCATCTGTCACAGAGGTGCGCAAGCTTGAAGCAAGCATCATCAATGGCTGGGTGAAATCTGCAGGGATGGAAAGAGCCCAAGAGAAGCGCTCGAGAGCCTCACCAGGCAGATGGCTGTGAACACATCCATCCCCACAGGCTCCAGCAGGGTGCGAGGCTGCCACCAGGATACAAAAAGACAAAAGCCTGTGCTGTTTGAGAGAAGTGTTCTCTCCTGTGCCATGATGGTGAAAATTCACCTTTCCGAGGTGTCCCACCTGCTCCTCATCAAGCATCAAAAGAAAAGCAAAAGGCCAAATCACTGACTGAAGCCAAAGCCACACTGTGTGGGTTTCATGCTCACCTGCTTGTAATGAGAAGGCATTATAAATGGTGCAAATAATAAAAGCTTGCCTCAGGTCTCAAGAATCATCAGTCCTGAACAGTGTGGTTGCAGGAGGCACCTGAAGGTTGAAGCTCGATTATTTTTAGACAAAAAGTAAATACTAGATGCCTAGTAGAAAAGCAGAGGTATGGTCACTACTTACACAGGTTCACAGGGGACTCCACTAGTGACCAGCTATATGTCAGCCTCATCCAGTGCTGCGGGTTTGGGGCTTTGTTTGTTTTTAACTTGCACAAGAGATCTCCAGTTGGTGAGCTGGAGATTTACACAAAGTAATCCTGGTGTTGTATTGCTGTCACTCAAGAGCTGTGTATTAATACCAGTAAAGCACACTTCCACTTGAGACATCTTCAGATCTTTTTAAAATAAATTACAAGTTTATTAAAGTGTGTGATATAGTTTCATGGCTTGGTAGTATAACCAAAGAAGATAAAAAAAGGATACTTCTCACCTTTCCAGGTGGAGTAAACTCATGTTTGCACATACACAGGTGGATTCTTACCTACTGGAATGACTATGCACCAATAAATACTAGCATAATTGCAAAAATATTAAATCCTGGTAATCAATTGGATGCCTCAGTTGATCCATTTACAATGATTTTATGAGTTAGTGGAGAAGCATCCCAGGTCATCAAAGGCTTACGTTACTTATACAGGCAAAGTAACAGCATTGCTTCAGCTTCTGTTACATTGCTCAAACACAAGGCTTTGTGTTAAGTATTTGCACTGCTGGGTTCTCCCTACCGTCACAGTACAATTGGTTCCCAGCGCTATGATGTCAGTCACTGATGTTATTTCACAATATTCGGGTGCTGACAAAAGGTTTTTTCACACATGACCCACTTACCTCTTCCCTGTTCTTAAGTACAAAAGGCCAAAGCTTCTGCTCCCTACCCCCCACTGAGGAGTGCGTGGGGAAGAGCAGGAACAGATGAAGTCCATTTATCAGATCTTTCAGATATGTACAAATGAAGGACAACATATGGAAGACCCGATTAGTCAAACTCCAGCCCCCCAAAAAAACACTTTAAGACTGTCAGTGGAACTACATCCTCAATAAAACCCGTATCTTCTCTGTTTGTGCTGATGAAAACCTCTACACCTCTGCCAAGAGCTGTCAACATCCCCTTTACTCATACTGAAGTCAGGCTTCAGGTTTGTTGCTGGAACTATGGCTTACACCACACTGACACTTCCAGCCTTACTGAGCTGATAAAATCCAGTATTCACCCTCCGTGCTCGCAGACTCCCACAACTTTTCTGAATTTAGATTTGCTGTACTGCAGCAATTATTCAGGACTAGCACCACACTAAAAAAAGCAGACAGCAGTAGATGCATCTGCAGACAAGACAGGATTACATCTTGCTTTTATTACCTAACAGCATCCTTAGCTCCCAGCAAGCAGGCACTCTAATTAAATCAACCTGGCAGGGCATTAAGGCAGCCAAGTTCAGTACTTTGGGAAGTAATCTGCAAGTTACCACCTTTGGCCAGGTGGCTTGTTTTGTGCCTTTGAGTGAACCGAGGCCCAGGTGTCTTTTGGCCTTCCAAAGGATGAGGGTTCTTTAATCCTCTTATAATGGCCTATACCAATCTCTTATTTTCATCTTGCAGATAGTACTTGCCCCAAAGGAACCCACATAGTGTGACAGACACAAATGGTTTGATTTATATAGAAGGAAGAACTAAAGGCTTTCAGATGCTATGGCAGAGGGATAAGCAAGATATATGTGGGCTTCCATGCAGATGATAGATGAGCAGCACTAAAAATAATTACAGAAACAGGCTTCAAAAACTGTGGCAGAAGTCTGAAGCCAGTGTCACAAACATTCATAACATTTTGAAGCCTTGGGCAAGGAAGAATGTGATCCAAATAGAAAACCCCGGTTGCGTGGTGCTCTCTGAGCTGAAGGGAAGAGCCCAACAGCAGCAGTCACCACGCATCACAGGAATGCTGCTTGTGGCTGAACTTCAGGGAACACAGAAGGAAAATGGAGTGCAAGCAGAGAGTAAGCGACCCAGAGCACCATCCATGGGTGAAGTTCCCATGGTAATTTAAGACCTGTACCAGTGGGGTTGTTGAGAAAAGACTTACCTATTCTATCATCATGTACCAGCATGAGGAGTATGACCAAGATGGGAACACTGCACAGAACAGTTAAGAAGTGTCTCTCTGGTCGAATGCCTTTAAGTCAGAGCTTGAAAACTGATCACGCAAATCAGCAAGTTTTCCTGGCAAGCACAAGTCATCTATTTCTGAAGAACTCAGGGTTGTTTTTTAATGGAAGCTACAGCCTCCGGACTTTGACAGTAAGTTCTAGCAATACTTCACAGACAAAAAACCCCAAGCCATTCTTCCAGAATGCCAAGTCAGGAAACTCTTAACCCTTCTGTTGAAGCAAGAAGCTTGCCAGACAGCACCACGGAGCTACCCTGACATGTCAATTTTACTGGTCTTGTTGAATATATTGCATGTGGCACTGCAAATCAGTCTTAAAGGGCAGGAGAAATGCACAAACTGTGTAACATGTTAGTTGCAAAAACCCATCCTGTCTGCATTCCTCATCACTGCAGTGTCACACTGGTATAGAATAGGAAACTAAGTGGATTCCTTGCCTAGTATTTGGAGGACTAAATACAGCTGTATCTGACCTTGGCATGTAACGTCGAAAATCTTGTTAATGGAAAGCCATGTGAAAATCCGGAGGGGCCACAGACCTTGCAAAACTGCCAGTTTTTAAGACCTATAGTGAGACTTCAGTTCTCAGAAAGTTCCAAGATTAGATTGTAAATGCCGCCCCATCCATCTATTGACTGAATTTTCTTTGAGCAACAGGTTATGTATTTTTTTCTGAGCTGTGGCTTAAAGCTCAGAGTGTGAGACTTGCAAGTCCTACCACTGTGCAGCACTCTGTGCCTCTGGCAATACCCATTTCTGTTTCTCAGTGAAAGCCTCAGTGAACAATATAGCTGGGTGGGGCTGGTTTGGTTTTTATTTTAATTAGGCAAGGCACTCAAGCTCTTAGACAGAAATCAAGGCAGCTCTTTGTGCTAAAGGAGAGAATGCCTGGCTGAAGAGATGGCCTTTCCATTTGACTTAAGCATCACAAGCATACCAGTACACTGAAATGCTAAAATGGATTACAGACCCTGCAGTTAAGGCTTTGGTTCAAAGAACCACAGAGTACCCAAGAAAAAACTTTTCAAAGATGTGCAAATCTACTGCTGTCCTGGGGGAGCACATACTGGAACTGAGATGGGCTGTGAAGTTCAGAGACTAATCTGACACAACATATTATGTTAAGGAAGTAAAAATAAATAAGCAATTAAAGTGACCTTTGCAAAAGAACAGGAAGGAGCAGATGAGCTTTTATCAGATTATTTAGGTTTGTGCCATTTCACATGTGATACAAGAGTCTGAAACAAGCATTTGTTCTCAAAGGTAGAGCGAGATGAACAATCAACCTCAGGTTTAAAGGATGAGGACAGTAAAGCCAGACTTTGCACAGAGATTCAGTTTCCCAGGAAGAACTTGTAGTAAACAAATCAGCTGGACTAACAGGCTCAGCTAAAGGACAAGAAATGCATTTGGGAAAGTAATGATTTATTCTTTTCTCCCTCCTTTAACTCATTATGAAATGGATTGTTACTCTCAAGCCAATCATAGGGAAAAAAAATAACAGACTCCCACAGTCCCATCTGTAGAGTTGATTATATTAAGACTAATATAAGACTTCAGCAACAGGAGATTTTTGGTGAGCATTTATATGTATTCCACTTGCTAAGAAATCTCTTTGCTTCTTCAGTAGGGCTGCCATATAGGTGAGACTCCAAACTCTGGAAGTTTTACAATCCATAGCAAAGTCATTAATTAAGGGTTCAATACTAGCTTCAATCAAAGGCACAAGGCCAAAGCAACACAGGTCAGGTCAGTAGGGCCTGGGTAGTCTCACTGAATTTATCTTTTTTTTTTTTTTTTTCCATCTCCAGTTTTAAGCCTTCAGCTTTTAGTCAAAGCTCAGCTCCTCAGTAACATGAACCTGCTCTATGAACACCACCACTGAAGATGTTTCCTCCCACATTTCAACAGCATTTTCCTTTTTTGCTGTTATGTCAAAGAAAACAAAAGTCTTAGGAGCAAATCAGTTGTGCAGAGAAAGGCTACAGCTACTGGATTCCACACCTAAGTGAGAAACTAATTTCCAGGGTTATTGGTGGCATATGAATTTGAGGAACATCAACATTCTGCACAAACTTGTCATGTCTTTGCAAATACCAGGATCCCTTTGATGACAGAAAAAGGAGCATTTAAACAATTTGTAAGATTTTTCCATTTCCATAAGCCATCATTAGTACATGGAATGATAAATATTCTTTAGAAGACTTAAATAGTGGTCCCAAGGGTAACTTCTGACGCCAGCAAACAGAATTGATCAGCATAAAACAAATAAAGATGCATCTTACTTTACAAATTAACGGTTACAAATACTATAAAATACATATACCCCCCTCAGCTACTGGAAAATTAACCATTACAGTCAGATTTAATTAGTCCTCTTTAGCAGTCCTAGATTTAGACGGAACTGTACTCACTGTCACTACCACACACCTGCATACTTCGTGCAGCTCCCATTAATGCAAAGGGAGAAGACATTTTGGTGAGAACAACCTCTTTAAGGAATACGAACAGGAACATTTCTGAGAACTTATCTGTGAATACAGGACTGTCCAAGTAGCTACAAAACCAAAGGGAAAAGCACTACAGAAAGCTGATTTCCAAGTTCATGGTTTAAAATCTATTTGCACACATAAGAATGAAAGATCCCAGGGCTCCTGTAAGATTCTAAAAAAACCTTGGGTTTGCTTTGTCTTCAAGCAACTGAAAACAATTCAGTAATTCTATTTGGACCAGGAATAGCTGTAATACATTTAGACTGACTGCTTTTAATACTACTGATGAAAATACTTCTACCCAAAGTACTCCTAAAGTAAAAAAAAATTGAAAATTTTTCCACAGTCCAAAAAATGATGAATAACATGAACTTTGCTGTACAGTTGTAAGCTTGTTTTGAGTCAACAAACAGCTTACAATGCAATATCTGGACAGGGAGGGACGGAAGGAGGCTGAATTAGAATTATACCTAATGTGCTCACAAGCTTTCCCAGTGCCCAACCTCAGAAAGCAGCTTCCAGTCAGAATACCTGAGTCTAACTGATGCAAATAAAACGCAAGTGTAGTTTCACATAGATAAGTTAAATAACTGCAATAGCTTTACAAAATTATATACCACTTTGAGCCAAACCAGCAGCAAATTTTTTTTCCATCATTCATTTCATCCACAGCTTTGAACAGATTGTTCAAAGTGCTCTATAAAACTAAGACACTGTACAACAGATGATTTGCTGCCACTTCCTTCTAATGTGATGCAGCATAGCTCGGTAGTTTGGAATGAGATCGAAGTATCAGTAGCGATACTGACAGCTTTGCTTCTACCTAGGACAATGTTACAGTTCTTTGTTTATTCCACTCACCACCTGAAACACTATACGTTCTTAGGAGGAATGGTGCTGTAACCGAGTGTTTCAGTGAATCCAGAGTAAGCCAGAAACCTATAGGCTTATTCCCTCTCTCCAGGGACAATCCTGTGCTGTAAGACAACCTGCTGCATTCCTGATATTTAATAAGCATTTAGTAAGACTGACATAAGTGAGTTCTGGTTCACCAGAGCCCCATGAATGTCATGGTCCACACTACAACTGTTCTCTGAACCTTATCATCAATACCAGGAAAACCAGCTTAGCAGGGCACAGCTTGTCCATCCCAGAACCAGGGATTAGATTTAAGACTGACATGACTTCTTTAAACCAGAGATGCTTTCCCAAAGTTTGTTCTAAGCCAAAAAAGGTGCAATATAGCATCTCTCCTCAAACCCTGAAAAGTAAAGTGACTTGAAGATAAAAATGCCACCATTGGAAGGTCTACTGACACCCAGTCTATGCTGGCACCCAGACAGGGAGTGGATGAGCTTCTGTGTTAAATACATATTTGTCAAGGTTGATTAGGTCTATGTCATCTGAAAACAGCAGAAACATGTATTTGAGTGTTTCCCCAAGGAAGAAGCTCTCCATCTTATCTCGTGGTTCTGGATTACTGGGGTTCTGGACGTTGTTAATGGAAGTATAACCACCTGTAGGAACCTGTGCCAAAAAAAAAGCAGAAATTTTGTACATTTCAATAAACTAAAATAAATTATTTTCACTTCTTAACATCCAGACGCACTTGGAGAAAATAAGTGCTAAGAAACAGATCAGCATGTTTTTCATTTCAATATAAAAGTTCTGTTATGAAAAAAATCTCATTGCATTTTAAAAGAAACCACGAAGATAAAATGAAGCAAAATGTCCATTTATGCTTATCCCACTGAA